CACCAAATTTAAAATTTGTAATTAATATATTTCCATATTAAGATCATAAATAATTAAAAAACAAACAACCTAACTTGCATACTGTATCCATATCGTGGAAGTGATTAAGGTCCCTCCATAATTTTTTCCTTTCTCAACATTAAGTCAAGAGGAGCAAAGTTCATGTGGCATTTAATAGCTCATGATGATGAAGATGATTGTAACCGAACCAATGATTTGGATGGGAACCAACCAATCACCATCCACACTTCACTGACAAAGATCTTAAAAACTCACATTCTGTACAGTGACATATTCCCAAAAATATGATAAGTATTTATGTTCCAACACCCCCCATGTGAATTAATATGTTCATCTCACAAAATCACCTTCCTGCCTTTAGAAATCCCCCCTTCCTAAAGTTATATATATATATATATATATATATATATATATATATTACATGCATGTCATATAATTCTTATGTATATGCATATATAACACCTAATATTCTATAATTATATGACATTTAGGTGTGTCAAAAAATTAACCCGACACGTCAACTCGACTCAAATCTAACTCAAGTATATGTTTAATTGTTCGAGTTGAATTCGAGTTCACCCACCAACTAGAAAATGACCCAAAAATAAACCATCAACCATAAATTAACTTGAAACCGGCATGCCAACCAAGAATTGACATAAAATGGACTCAAAATTAACCTAATTTTAACTCAAATGGCTTTTATTCTTGATGTTAAATGTGTTCTACTTGTTCAAGATGGCTGGGTGAAGGCAAGTAGGGTTAGATTTGGGATTTTCGACCTATATAATATCAGGGTCAGGTTTAGGTCGGACTTATTAGGGCCAGGATAGTCATCCCTAATGACATCCAAATTTTTAACATCAAATTAAAAAAAAAAAACACATTTTTTATACATATATTTTAGCATGATTTTGATACAACAAAGTTATAAAAATAAATATCAAACTTTAAATGTTAAATATGCATATATATAAAAATAATATGGCCCATATTTAAATCCCTTACACATATAACATTCATAGATTAGCTGGTCTTTGACCTTTAGAAGGATGGTCCCGGGGGCATGAATAGTAGGCATTCCTAATACGCCATTAAAAGCTTTACAAGTGCATGTCATGAAGCTTTTTAGGGCTTTCTTGCTTTCTAAAAGAAAAGGCTAATCATCAATGAAACCAAATATTCTTCTTCTATAACTCATAATTAATCTTATAAGAATATTCATATAAAAATATTTATAAGTTTTGATCCATATTTCAGTCAACATTTATGAAATTTTTTTATTAGATTTCTATCAGGCCATAATTATTATAACAAATAATGGAAGTAGTGCTCAGAGATCCATTTCAAAATTAAATTTGATTAAATTGTCTCTAATTAATGATTAAATTTATATATATATATATATACATAAGCCTAATTAATAAAAAAAATGGCAATTAAAAGATTCACATACAAACCACTAAACTTTCATGTATTTACATATCTAATGTATACTTAAAACTTCAATTTTACTTGCATACCACTTTATTTATTAGTTCACTTTTGAAAAGTTAAAATGGTGAAATATTTGAGGTTATATGAAATATTTGAGTAATATAACTGTAGTTAGATATGTAAATACATAAGAATTGGGCGGTATGTAAAATATGATTAAAAGAAAATGACAGGTTGGGTGGAGTAGTAACTAAAGCTTCATACACTACAGAAATTGTTCATTCAGATATAGATTGTCATTATTAAATCATGCTAAAGAATTTTTCACGTGGCAATCTTTCCATCGAACACCGCGGCCAATTTTTATACGCCATGACTCATATTTTAATATTTTGTCGAACATGTACAAATAAAAGTAAGAGAAGATCCCAGGAGGGAGTGACAACGATCCTTTCTAGGCCTTTTTTGCAAGATCTCGCACTGTAACTCTAATCTCTCTTGCTTCTTCTCTAGTTCATTCTTACTCGTTAGATCATCTCTCCATTCTTCGCGGAAATGATTATTATAAGAACATGTAGTTCAGGTCTGGAGAACACGTACATTCTTCTCCTTCAGTCTCCTAACACAAGTTTCCCCCAAGTTGCGTAAACTACAAAACCAAACGCTCTAAAAGGATTAAAAAATTACATAATGAGATTTAGGCTTAATTTAATTTCATTAATATTACTTTTTATTTGGAAAATAATTTTGCTTAAAATACTTGTTTTCATACATATTTATTTTTAAAAGTTTATTAAAATTCTGACTAATAAAATGATAACTCTATATTTCATAAAAGACCTATAATAAAACTATAATGTAAATATTGCTTTATAAAAATAATCATAATTGTGGCTAATCAAGCAACTGAATTTATATCAACAAACAATAAATTCAGGCTCTTTCTGGCACAGGCATGAAAAATATTTGCATGTCATGATTTTTATTTTTATTTTTCATATATTTTTTTCAGAGGGAAATCATGGAAAAGCAACACCCCCATGTCAATCAAATGCACTGTCCTATTACAAAATAAGAAAAAGGTAGAGCTGAATGAAATCTCACATCAAATAGTACTTTTGAAAAGCTAGCAAGGATGAGGGCCTTTATGTAATATGAATGTAGCTTCTGAGTAATTTTAAATTTGAAGTTCTTGAAATGGTTATAAATTAACTCCTCCATAGAGATGTGATTGTTGGTAAGCTCAAACAATTTAGTTAACGTCTTTGGGTGCTTCAAACCAAGAGCATGGTGAAATGGACTTTGTCGTAGGCCCTCAACTAATACATTATGAGCAACCGCCGTCTGTTTATCCTTTATTTCCAACAAATTCCCTATGTAATCTGGCCATGAATCTCCTTAGAGATTTTCCAAACTCTTGATGAATCCGCAACAAAGCCTACGAGCTCTCATGAGTTTCTAAAAACTTGCATCTGTACAATAAGGATTTACATAAACACTCTAAAAGAAGTGGCAACTTGTGATGGCAGATTGTTAAACCATATGAGAGCTAACTTTTCAACATCATGAAGAACAATCAATACATTAGAACTTCATTAATTCTCAGTAAATATTCAGCTGAGTCAAAAGATGTCACATGATCAGATCTTCTTTTATAAAACTCCAGAGATAAAATCTTAAACTTATCTTGAAGCTCTACTTCCTCAATTAGTGGTTGCTTTTTTTCATATTTTCTTTTCTTCTCTCTCTTCTATGATAAAAAAAAAATCAAGAATCTTCACTATAAGAAAATTGAGTCTCATCAACTATAGCTGATATATACAACAAAACTCTCCTTACTCTCACCACTGGCTTGTCTCTTCTTTGCATCTTTGATTACAAGGAACATGATGTCATCTCCACTCTAACTGTCACTATAGGCTACAACTCCAACATTTTCTTTTTTACTATTATCATTTGTTCATTCAATTCATTTATCAAGTACACTACAAACTCTCTATTGCACTCCACATTTTTAAAGTTTTCTCAAAGTTATGCTTCTTTTTCGTGCAAAACCCCTCTTCTAATATGTGGCATGATCCACACTCACCACATATTTAAAGATGTTAAATCCTAAGTTGTCATTGGTCTCGCACCACTAAAATAAGAACTTGTAAGGGTATAATAGTAACACAACTGATATAAGAAGGAAGAAAAATATACTCCCTCTCAAGTATAGAGCTCAAATAGATAATTTCTAGCAAAAAATGTATGGTGTAACCTTTTGAAGAAAATGACACACCCCTGCCTTTTGAGTGGCCTCCCTTATTAGCTGGTGAGTTGTCTCACAAGTTGTTACATAATAGCCACAATATATAACAAAGCATGTAGTGCATTGTCCCACCATAGGGTGAGTTTATGAGACTTACTATTTGGGCGTACCAAGCGATAAAGATTAATTGAGCTAATTTTTATCATATTATTTGATTGATTCAGACCGAGTCGACATAGCTGATTTGTTTAGTTAATCTTCCGATTTGGTCATATTACACTGTTGCCTCATGCTTTGTTCACTTGTATTTAAAATATTCTGATTATTTTATGTGTCTAATGCTGACCTCTGCTCTCTCTCTCTCTCTCTCTCTCACACACACACACACACACGCGCTAGGACAGCTATATATACATACATCACGTACTTAGATCAGTTGGTCGAGCATCTGCTTGTCAGTTGTAAGTCTCTTCTGGTCTGGGGTTCGCTTACCTCCCAGTGGAGGGCGTGGTACTCGAATTGTTAGATGCATCGAGAATGACCGGGGCTAGTATAATAGCCCCGGGCCATTTCTTTTATATATATATATATATAGCATAAAGGACTTTGAGATAAGTATCCATATCTCTCTCATTATCTGCCACGCACCACATGCCATGCCAAAAATGTCAAATGGACTCGAAAGGAATTTCAGTAACAAGATGAAGTGAGCCCCCACCTCAATTCCCACTTCCCCATCATACATGGCATTTAGATATATACTGGCAAAATTCAAATACACAAACTACGAAGACTGGCTTCAGCATTAGTTTCAAAGATTAAAACTTCATAATATATTCTATTCCTAAGCTACCACATAAATCAAAAATCAGTAAAGCTGCAGAACACTTTCTCTTGTATGCTCCATAATAGATTCTGACAATCATCAAGAGAAGAAAATGGACATATAAAAAAAGTAAACTGCATAAAGCTACACTTTTATCTATGATTTAAGACTAGATAGCCATTTCATCATGCTCAATTTCAGTTTATATCTCTGTACAATAAGCCCCTTAAATTTATCTGATTTGTTAATGCACTTTACTTTTATTTTATAATAATATTGATGATTGCAAAAAGAGAATTATGAAAAAATATATATATAATATTACAAATGCTTATCTTCTTGAATTTTGGAATCACAATCAATATGCTTGAAAGGCTGCTTGACTATCAGTTACTTTCGATAGCATTAAGATAGCACGACAAATACTTTCTGCTTAAAAATCATCAATTCATTGCTCGCACGCGCATATTTAATAAATTTTTTTTAAGGCAGGGTGAGCGCTCGAACCCAATATATTGAGATTTTTCATTTGGTTTCCAACCAATATGCTATACAATTACACTTTAGAGCGCTTGCGAACTTAATGCCAAATCTTCTTCAACTCGATGCAAATATTCCTTCTTATTTTTCCTCCTCATCTCCTTTATTCCCATGAGGACCAAATTCCTATTAGTAGAAGACCATATGACCACCTTTTGTTCTCAGATGGTCCTCTCCACCACTATATTAAAAGAATCTCAGTACTTTCAAAATTACATCTAGCTTCTCCTATTTATATGAACACCCTTCAATAGTTGTTGCTGAAACAAGCCACCAATTTCTGAACTTCAGCTCAGTTAACCAAAAACCAACTCCATTCTTCAAACTTCACCATTCCTCTCTTATTTTCTCAATTGAACATCGCTTAAAGTCACCGATTACTTTCCATAAATACATTATTAAGTTGAAAGTACATATGAGCTCCAGAGACTCTAATGATGTGGGAGCTCAATTCAGTGACCAGAAGACTCCTACAATCCTGAAACTCAAACTCAATGAGGAAGCTATGAAATCAAGTAATTCAAAAAGAATTTGGGTTCCTGGCCCTTTGATCATCGGAGCAGGCCCATCCGGCCTGGCCATTGCGGCATGCTTGAAGGAGAAAGGTGTGCCGTCTCTGATTCTTGAGAAGGAAAACTGCATCGCCTCCTCTTGGAGGATGAGGACCTACGAGCGCCTGAAGCTACATCTACCAAAGCATTTATGTGAGCTACCACTCATGCCATTTCCATCGGATTTTCCGGTATATCCTACAAAGCAGCAGTTCATAAGCTACTTGGACTCCTACATCAAGCAATTTTCAATTAGACCGTTCTTCGGGATGGAAGTTTGGAAGGCAGAGTATGATAAAACCATTGAATTTTGGAGGATTAATGCTGGAGATGATTGGGAGTTTATATGTAGATGGCTGATAGTTGCTACTGGGGAGAATGCTACAGCGAAGGTACCTGACATTCCTGGCATGGCAGAGTTCAAAGGAAGGATTTTGCACACCAGCTCTTTTAAACAGGGAGATGATTTTAACGGGGAAAGAGTTTTGGTTATTGGGTGTGGAAACTCAGGCATGGAGGTTTGTCTGGATCTTTGCAACAATCATGCAAGAGCTTCCATGGTTGTTAGAGATGAGGTGAGTTCTTCTCTTTTATCACTTTAAACTACCGTTTTTAGGTAATGTCTCCAAGTTTCATTTATGTGATGTCCCTTTCCTGTAAAATTCCCACTAGCTTACACCAGCCCCTTGTCTCTTTGCTGAAAAACTTAATTACCAACTGTCCTTTCTCTGTAGGAATGTTTAGATGTTGGTTTTCTTCAAAATTATGAATTTTAATATTGGTTGTTCACATCATAGTATTGGATAATACATGCTCATACTTTAGATATGTTGACCTTAACCATACACCATGAATACCTTTACAAAATCTTTATTATTATGTTTATCCGAGAACCTTTAACAGAGCTATTGATTGATGCATCTTTCAGCTTCACGTATTGCCTAGAGAAGTGCTTGGAATCTCAACTTTTGGTCTCTCAATGTGGTTGTTGAGATGGCTTCCAATGAGTGCGGCAGACTGTTTACTCCTCTTATGTGCTCGGTTGTTTCTCGGAGACACTGAAAAGCATGGGCTAAGAAGACCCAAAATAGGGCCATTAAAACTGAAGAATTCCACCGGAAAGACACCTGTGCTTGATATTGGAGCCCTCTCAAAGATCAAAAGTGGCCAAATAAAGGTTTCTTTCTTCTTCAATCATTTCCACCTAGATATATTTAGCCTTTCTTGCAAATATTACCAGTATCACGAATGCTAGGACAGTTAGTTAAAACTCCAAATGCAGCATTCTGGTTCTGCAAATAATTCAAACTTCATTAGGACGGGCAGAAGACGATACTGATTGAATTCAGTTCATAAAAGATTCAGGCTCGTTTAATTTTGGCACTCGGATATTTTGATTTGTGAAAATTGGATTTATTAAAGAAAAAAATATGGCAATTGATCTGGATAACCTTAGAAATAAAAAATATCATGCACGCAATGAAAATCTCTACTGCTAAAAATCTTTTAGCTACCATCAAAACCCTTCATAAGGATACAAATCCTATTCAATTACCTGCATAAATGCGCCAAATATTTACTCCACTAAAACTATATTAGTTTTGAAAACATATTAATGGATTCAATTCTATCCACCTAAATCGAAATAAAGGGTTAGAACAGAGGTAATTGAACAGATGTAACTTGGGAGCGATGTTCTGGGAAAGACGGGGGTGGGGGGGACGGGGGATGCGTTTTGTCTTAAGTGCAGAGCAACCATAACATTAAGTTAAATTACTCTCGTTGGTAAAGATTCAAAGGGTAAGAAAAAACAAGAAAAAGAAGAAAGCTATTTATTCTGAAGTCCAACTTCAAGGACCCACATAAGTATCTATTCTAGTGTTTGGCACTCAACTTTCTAAAAAAAAAAACTCTAGAAACAATAACAATAAATAAATGATTATGCTGCTCTTTTCTGCAGGTGGTCCCTGGGATAAACAAGTTCTTTGAAAAAGGTGTGGAGTTTGTGGATGGGAAACAAGAAGAATTTGATGCTATCATCTTCGCAACAGGTTACAAAAGCAATGTGAGTTCATGGCTCAAGGTAAGTAAGTTTCAATATTGATAAATATTATCATAATAAGCATATAAGTCAATCTCACTAAATTTTAGGATTGAGATAACATCAACACGGACTATGAAAAAAAAGGAAAGTTGGCCAATAAACAGCCAAAGAAGAAAGATCCATACCATAAAAATATCATTGAAATCCTATGCAACCAAATCATGGAGCCAAAACTTGCACTTTGACAAACAAATAAGTCTTAAGACATTTTAAATAATAGTACAAGATGATTACGACTAGTAAGATATATTAACCAAGGCCCCAACCCCTACCGGAAACTCACTACTTCCACATTCAATAAATTCTCTATATAAGAGCTAATTTATTGCAGGACCATGGCAATGATAGTGACTTCAGTGATAAGTGATTCACAATAGCAACTATGATAGTGAACTTAGGGCTCACCTGCACTAATTATGCAACAATTCACATGTTAGGTAACTATTGCAATTAGACAGAACCGAGCAAGCAAAAGCATGAGTCAAAAAACAGGGAAAAGAAGTTCAAAATGAGGATAATCATAGAGCCGCGGCGGTGGAGAGATTATTGCGTGCGGACACCGCATGCATCTCTGCATGCGGTGTTCGATCCTGGCCGTAGATCACGGTGATCTACGGTCAGGATTATTTCCGTTTTTTTAAAAAAAAAATAAAAAATTTTAGGTGGGGCCCACCGAAACCCCTTATCTCCGCCGATCCGCATGGAATAATTTTTCGCGGCGGTGACTCCTAATTTTCCCAGTGGGCTTCCATTGTGTGGCTAGGAGAAGATAGAAATATTGATGAATTTTGCCTATGACCTGGCCTATTCACAAGGGCATCCATCAAGGAAATGGTGGTCCCCTCAGCAAATGTTCACGTGACAGCAATACAGCACACTTAGATTTTCAATAGAGCCAATTCTTACTTAAAATTTTGAGATGTATATAAATGCAAAATTTTATTCATGTATTCACTTTTCCATGCATTGATGTATAAGAAACTCATGCCAGTACTAATTGCTTTCTAAAAGGAGGAGGAATTCTTCTGCAAGAAAAATGGAATCCCAAGGACTCAATTTCCAAACAGTTGGCGGGGCAAAAATGGTCTGTATGCTACGGGATTCACAAGAAGGGGATTGTTGGGAGCTTCCATGGATGCCCACAGGATCTCAGAAGACATTGCCTGCCAATGGAATTCAAAGACAAAGCATCTACCTATGGAGCTTTAAATCAAATATATCTAACCCTAATTCCTCTAGAAAACACCATTCCGCGGGATAACATTCCATGTATAGCAATACAATATTTCAGAATTTCCCACCAGCCCCTCACCTTTTTATTTGTTGTGCCTCAAAACTTGGAAGCACTAAAATAACAGTGCGTGAGGCCTGACAGAAGGCCATAGATTTATTCCATGCAAATTGTGATGAAATATAATTTTAGCTCATAATCTAATCAGGAATACTGAATCATTTTCTGGGTAATGAACACTTAGGAGTTCTGCTGGTTTTTTGCAGGAAGTAACTCATTCATTTCTTTTTTATTTGAAAAAAATATTAAACTATTACAGGCGTTTAACAATTTGAAACTTTTCCAGTCCAATAAAAAACATTGAGGGGACCCAGTCTGAATGCACTAAATAAATAAAAAGCAGCCTTCAAATTCAAGTTAGTACGAGTAAAAGTATGATTGGATGGATTTCCCGTGCACTTAAAGCAGGTAGAGGGGCGTCAACAGTGGACATAACCATCCTGTTGGCTTTAAATATTGCTCTGCACATACATAAAAGCAAAGGGCATATATCAATTTATTAACAAGAAAAATCAACAAAAAGCCTCTTTCCAAACCATCTGAAAAATTGGGCAGGCAAAATATTTCTTTAATTATCAAAATGAGATTCTTAGTATGACAAAATATAATAATCTCGTTGACATCAAACAACTATATCTAACATGGTTCAAAACAAATTATCTCACCAAGACAAAAATATATAAAAAGTTAAATTGCACACGCCACTAAAATACAGGTCATTTATATGCCACACTAAATTTTAAAATATAACCTACATATCAATCAAAAGCTTCAACCTTGCAATAACGACCACTTTTTATGGACAAGTGGATAATTTTTGTTTATCAGGGCATAAGGATAAAGATTCTTTCAGATTTGAGTAAATAACAAGACTGAACCAATCATGAAAAACCCGTGTTCTATAAAATAAACAAAGAAGTATATTGCAAGAAATGTTTCATGATATTTTTAAATATTTAACATTGAATATGGTATAAATAATGTCCCCATATTTTCATGGCATGTACATACATATCACCGAAAAAAAACGCATTAATTATGCTTCCAACCAGAAACATTATACACCACATTCACAAACAAGCACTCAATAATTCTAAAACGACTGATAGACAGTAACAACAATGGTTGCATAAGTCTATTTATTACTCAGGAAGCCTCCAATCAAATACCAATGAGTGCACATTTAGAGGCAAATTTGACTCCTCCTTTGCCATCCAATGAATACTTAGCAAGTGCCACTTAAAATTCATAAGCTCTTTTAAATTTCAACAAGGTGTCCTTTTATCCCAGATTTCAAACTTGACCATAAGGACACAACTCTGAAGTTATTTTCAGCTGAGGGGACTTAACCAGAATTATACCAAAAAAAAGTTTTCTTAGGCCAACACCACAGAGGGGGGCCTTGGGTGGGTCCAAAAAATTCTCATCAATGCCTATAAGAAGACCAAAATTGGAGCATGACTTCACAATGATACACCATACTGAAAACTCTACATGTCTCCCTCGCAAGCCGCGAATATTCAAGTGTAGAACAGGGCACCTAGTGCAGGAACTTCTCACTAGAGCTAATAGTCCAATCCCCATCCCACGAGTCTATCATTTTCTTTCATGACACACCAGAAAGACCAACTATTTTATTAATTATTCATATATCATTGTACTCTATTATAGAAGCAGAGTTACCTTAAGCCATAAATCATACTGCATTATGTGGCATACGATATTTAAAAAAAAACAGAAATGATAAATAAATTGAATAATATATTTATAATTCAATAATTTAAGAGAGAAGCTATCCTAAAGAAATCAATCACAGAATAGAACATATAACTTTTTTTAATATAAATGAAACAAATGAAAAACACTTGGATTGGAAAAATAATCTTCATTGCCAAAGAAATTAAGATCCCTCCATAATTTTTTCTTTCTCAACAATAAGTCATGACGAACAAAATTCATGTAGTACTTAATAGCTCAACATGATGATGATGATGATTGTAACCAAACCAATGATTTGGTTGGGAACCAACCAATCACTATCCACAGTTGAGTTCACTGACAAAGATCTTAAAAGCACACATTCTGAACAGTGACATATTCTCAATAATATGATAATTATTTATATTCCAACACCCCCCATGTGAATTAATATGTTCATCTCAGCAAAATCACCTTCATCCCTTTGGAAATGCTCCCTTCCTAAAGTTAACTTTAACCATACTATATATAAATATGGGGAATTTATATGCATATCACATAATGCTTATATATATATGCATGTATAACACCTAAACTTCCATAATTACTTATATGGCATTTAGAAGTGTCAAAAATTGACCCGACACGTCAACTCGACTTAAACCTAACTCGAAAAAATTCACGTTCGAGTTGATCAAAATAATTTTCGAATCGGGTTAAATATCCTAATCCATTTAATTTTTCAGGTCGGGTTTGAGGTTACCCGCAAACCCGAACCCAAAAATGACTCATCAAGCATAAATTAACCTCAAATTGACCCACAAACTAAAAATTGACTCAAATTTGACCTGATTCTAACATGAATATTTGTTATTTTTTTATGTTTAATGGGTTATATGTGTCGAATTTAGGTTGACTAGTTGAAGGCATGTCGAGTTAGTGTTGGGATTTTCGATCAGTATAATATTCGGGTCTGGTTTGGGTTTGACTTGTTGAGCTCTGGTTAGTGACCCTAATGACATCCAACTTTTAAACACCAAATAAAAAAACATATTTTTTCATGTATATATTTTAGTATGATTTTGATACTACAGTTATAAAAATAAATATATAAATTTAAATGTTAAATATGTAAATATAAAAAAATTATATGGCGCATATTTAAATCCCTTATAAGTATAACATTCTTAGATTAGCTGGTCTTTGACCTTTTAAAGGATGGTCCCCGTGGCATGAATAGTAAGCATTCCTAATACACCATTAAAACTTTACAAATACACCATTAAAGCTTTACAAATGCAAGTCATGAAGCTTTTTGGGGTATTTTTGCTTTTTTTTAAGAAAAAACTAACCATCAATGAAACCAAATATTCTTCTTTCTTCCATAAAGCATAAAAAATCTTATAAGAATATTCATATAAAAATATTTATGAGTTTTGATTTATATTATTTTGACAAAAATTTCAGTCACCATTTATGAAAATTTTTTATAAGATTTCTATCAGCCCATAATGAATACCTTTCTATTATAACAAATAATGGAGGTAGTGCTCAGAGACCCACTTCATAATTAAATTTGATTAAATAGTCACTAATTAGGGATCATTTCTAATGTGATGATTAGATATGTAAATACATAAGAATTGGGTGGTATGGAAAATATGATAAAAAATGACAAGGTTGGTAACTAAAGCTTCAAACACTACATAAATTGTTCAATCAAAAACAGATTGTCATTATTTAATCAGGTTAAAGAAAGTTTCACATCACAAGCTTTTCATCGAGACCTGTGGACAAATTTTATAAACCATTACTCATATTTTAATTTTTTTTGTTGAACATGTATACTTAGAGGTACGAGAAGATCCAAGGAGGGGGACAACACTCTCTTCCAAGCCCTTTTTTTGAAAGATCTCACACAATAACTCTGAGTCTCTCTTGCTTCCTTCTCTCATTCTTTCTTGCGCATTAGAGCCACTTCCCCACTCTTCCGAGGAAGAATCATTGTAAGAACATTAGAATACGTACATTCTTCTCCTTCACTCTCCTAACATAGGTTTCTCCCTTGTTGTGTGCACTACATGACCCAATGTTAAAAAAGGAATAAAAAATTAAATTAAAATTTATAATTAATTGGATTGTCGAGATACGACTGAGATGGAAACAAAATTGTGAGAATTAATTCTAATTTTCTTAATTAAGAAAATTAAAATTAATTGGTAAATCCCTTAAATTAAGGAAATTAGAATAAATTTGTAATCCCTTAAATTAAGGGAAATAGTTAAATAGTTTCCTTGTTTTTCTCCTTTTAATCTCCTATATAATACCTTGTATGATCAATTCAAGAAAGGTGAGAAATACAAATTATTTCCGAGCACGGGCTGCTCTCCCTCGATCCAGTAGCAGGCAACGCGACGAGCACGGCGAGCGCAAGCAGAAGCGACGAGCACGGCGAGCGCGAGCAGAAGAGACGAGCACGGCGAGCACGAGCGAGTCTTCCGAGCACGAGCAGAAGCGACGAGCACGAGCGACTCTTCCTCTCGAGCACGGGATTCCAGTAGCGACTCCCGCTTCGTCCGAGAGGAGCAGCAGAGGAAGACCGTTCTTTGCCGCTGCAATCCGGAGATCTCGCGATCTTTGCCGCTCTTTGGATTTTTCTTTATTAGCTGCCTTAATTGCTGCGATTCTTTTATCACTGCAGGTTGATTTCGAGCCTTAATTGCTGCAAATTTTTCTTCCTCACCATGTCAATGTCCGAAACCACTATCTCCAATTACTCCAACAATTCTGAAGAATACAATGTTGTTCAGAAAATTGGAGAGTTGCAGAATATTCGGGCATCCAATAGGTTCAATGAGAAGAACTATCTCAAATGGTCCCAAATTGTCCGCACATACCTAAAAGGCAAAGG